TTCTGCAGTGGAGTTAGAATGCACTCCATCATGACCCAGGAAGGGAGTGTGTGTGCAGTGAGCAGGAGTCCTTTGGTCTTTTGAGGCTCACATAAATTTAAAAGCAGCAGTGAATGGGGAGATGGAGGTGATGGGAAGCTGGGGGCTGAAAGAAAAAAAATATGTAGCTAGTCTGCTTTTCTAATTAAGAGAAAGCAGGGTTCGCCTTGGTGGCTTGGTTAAGCGTCCAACTTCGGCTTAGGTCATGATCTCCTAGTTTGTGGGTTCAAGCCCGGCAAGGGGCTCTGCACTAACAACGTGGAACCTGCTTGGGATTCTCCCCATCTCTACCCCTGCCCCACTCAAGCTTGCGTTCTCTTTCTCTCGAAAGAAAGAAAGAGAAAGCATGCAGCTCTAAATAATAGATAGGCACAAATATTCTGGTTCTCTCTTTATGAAGCAGAGAGGCTCAGTAATTAATATTCCTGCCGGAGGGCTTTCTAAAGATTATTAGCAGGAACAGTCTTCAGAGTTGTTTTGTTTCTACCATAGGTATACATGGGTGAGCTCTGAAACTGACCTCACCTGCTGGGAAGATGGAACCTAGGGGTAGGACGAGCTGAGGGGCCGAGAGTTCTTGACTCTCCGCTTTATCATTTGCGCCCTGGGGACTGAGAAAATGAGCTTAACATTCCTGTCCTGTGTCAGGATTTATACTCTTCCTTTCTGCGGAGGGAAGTGTCCCTCTGCCTTTCTGTGTCTGCTCTACCTCCTGAAAGCACCCCCCCCACCCTCCCGCCCACTCTGCCTCCCTTCTCTGCGTCTCTCTAGTGTCGTCTCACCCCCCGTCCTCTCATGAGCCCACGAAGGTGCCTTTCCTTGCAGATCTCCTCGCTGCCTGGCCCACGCCCGTACCGCTTCCTTCCCTTTCCCAGCGGCTGTCTGGTACCTTCAGCCCAGCTGGCGCTGTCCCACCTGTCTTCCGTCCTCTCCGCTCCGTGTCCCGGCTTCTTCCCCGACCCCCTGAAAGTTCTCTCAGGGCTCGCCCGTGCTCTTTCCATTCCACAGACACACACTGAGCACGGTATTTGCCAGCTTGGACGTCTCCTTCATTTCCTCCTTCCATCTCCCTTTGGGCTGTGACACACATTACCTTTCGTTTACATTGCCGCAGTTCTCCTGGGACCTGCTTTCCTGCTTGATGCAGAATCCTCACTCCTGAGGGTAGATCTGGGCAGAATTAGGTGCAGACCTCGGGGCACTGGATCCGCCAGCCATAACCTCTCATGGATGTTTTGTCTGACCGACTGCGCCCGCGGTGGCCCAGCCCCACCACACTATTAGCTTTGCTCCCCGAACACTCCGTCCTCATTTTGCTCTTACTGTGCTCCCAGTTCGTCACAGCTTGCTTACTAAAACTCTTCCTCCACCTTCCCGGCCCACTTCAGACACCGTTCGTTTCAATGAGCCTCTCCTAATTCTTCACCTGCTGCAGGGTTCCCGTTGCCACAGGAGCATGACAGTACGATCACTATCCGCGGCTGTAGGTGGTTTTCACTTTTTAGTATTACAAACAAGGCCAGGCCAGACATTTGTGTACCTGTCTTTATAAAGTTGGTATAAACCAGGGGCACCTGGTGGCTCAGTCGGTTAATTGTCCAACCTTGGCTCGGGTCATGACCTCACAGTTCATGGGTTCAAGCCCTGCGTCGGGCTCTGTGCTGACAGCTCGGAGCCTGGAGTTTGCTTCGGATTCTCTGTCTCCCTCTCTCTGTCTGCCCCTCCCTTGCTCATGCTCTGTCTCTCTCTCTCAAAACTAAACATAAAAAAATAAAGTTGGTATAAACCATGTCTTTACGCAAGACTTTTAAAAGGGACTAGAAATCACAGGTATGTTTGTCTCCCTCACCCTTTTTCAGTATCTTATGTGACCCATTTTAAAGAGCTTTTACTTTTTTGCAGCATAGTGTCACCTTTGCTATTATAGTGTGAAATAAAATTTGAGATGGAAACTTGACTTACTACAAACTGATTCTAGTTCTTGCCTTAATTTTCAGACAGTACCTGTAACGAAAAACAGTAAAGAAAACAGACTAAGAGGAAACAAAGTGTTCTGCGCGGTGGGTTTCTTATCTAGTGTAGTAACTGACTTGTTAAATAGCCATGGCCTCACCAGGTGCAGGAGAGCCGCACGTGTGGGCTGCTCCACTCTAGATTAGGAGGGGCCTTAATGTAAGAAAACAATTTTTGGTTTTGAATCGTATTTGACTTCTTAAGTCTTTTAAGTGAATTTAACCAGTGCTGTAGCTAACCGTACCATCTGACTCCATTCAGTCCATTTTATAATGCTTTCATATTTGTGTTTTTCTGTAGACAGATAGCTTGTCTTTTACTATCTGTCGGCAGTGGGATATGTGACCTGTTAAATAGCTCAAGATGACTTCTGGACCATGATGATTCTTGCTTTAAGTGTTATTAATAATGGATGTCTTTCATGGACGTTGCATTCTCTGCTGTTCTCAGATATGTTTATGTACCTACTGTTAGGTGTAACTTTTGATCAAAAATGGATAAACTAGTCTAATTTTGAAAATCACTTTTCAAGTTCTGTCTGGAAACATTATTGAAATATTTATTTTTATAATGAAAATACACAATAACCACATTGCAAGAATGTGATAGTAAAGGGTAGGAAAAAAATAAGCAACTTCAGTCCCTCCATCCTAATATAACTACCATGGCCAGTTTTTCTCTAGTCTTTTTTTCTGAGGTGCAGATTTTACACAGCTATATGCAGACTTTTCAAAACCAAGGACTTTGTGTAAGGGAGCAGGAGTTAGATGTATCAAACAACTTAAGTTAAGAAAAAGCATACACTAGATCATTATTAGAACTCTGTCTTTCTCCTGCATCGATTCTTTTCAGTACAGTATCGTATTGAGTTGTGAATGGAAGAAGGGTACTGCTAGTCATTTATTTGAAATGCAGTATTTAAATTGTCAAATATCAGAATTCTGAAATGGATTCTTACCATTGACTTCCCTTTTGAGAACCCTAGCTTTTAGGGATCTCTGACTAGCTTCTTCAAGACAAGTAAGACATCAAGTCATGTTCGCTACCTTAAAAATTAGGCACGCTTGTGCATGCTTGTGCACGTTTGCCCACACACATCTGGAGCTGCAGAAATGCTACTGTAACTTAGAAGAAGTATGTTGTAGTCTTTCAGGATGTGTGTTCTGCATCCAGGGGATACCATTTTGTGTCCATGAGATGATAACCACGAAATTGTTCCAGATTTTTTGAGACTTGTGCCCAGAAGCCATTTTATTTGTTAATGACGTCTGTCCCCTGTACCAGTGATTGATACTTTGCCTTGGAAGCTGAACACTTCCTCGTTTGATGATTGGACATTATCGGAATGAACGATAAAATTCGCAGGTAGAGAAGATGTGTAAAGGCACTCGGGTGTAGTGGAGAGGGTTTGCGGTCAGAGGCCTGCACTTGAATCCTGGACCCTGCCGCTTCTGGGAATGTGATGGGGATCTTGGCCCCACTCAGCCTCCCGTGGTGGTCGTGAGGATAGAACGAAGTCTCCTAGGTGACTGTGCTTTGTGAAGCTCTAAAGCCCGCGGTCTGTTTTGATGCTGGCGCTCCTCAAAGCAGATGGCAAGAATACTCTCAAATAGGGTGTTGGGAATGAAACCACGGTGAAGTTCCGAAGAAACAAAACAGCCTAACGGAGCTCCCGTTTCTTTTTCCTCCCAGTCTTCGAGCAGCGATAGCGGCGGCAGCAGCAGCAGCAGCATCAACAGCCCGGACAGGGCAAGCGGGCCGGAGAGCAGCTTGAACCACATGGGCGCCGGGTCCGGCCCTAACACCCCTCAGCCTGTTCCTGAGCAGTCTGCACTGTGCCAAGGCCCTTACTTCCGCATCAACCAGACCCTGAAGGAGGCCCACTTCCACAGCCTACAGCACCGGGGACGGCCTCCGACATGATGTGCCGGCGGTTTCTTGCCTTCTGTGAAGGGACAGCGCTGTGCAGATTTGATATTTCAACTTACGATGTTTTAAAAAATTGCACAAAAATATGCCTGTTGGCTTTTCAGTCTATATTTGAAAGAGCAGGTTAACAGGCAGTTGTTTACTTGTGGTTTTGCTGCACTATTGCAATTTCAAAGGGGCTTCGAAGCAATTTTTTATAGGATTCTTTTGAGGGTGGGTATCACATCCATGTCGAGGTAACGGTATGAGGAAATCTCATCTGCGTGTTGAATCCATAGTTTGTCCAGTTCAGATTGGTTTCCAAATCTGTCAATTAGAAATTCTACTTCATGTAAAAAGGCCTTTTAACAATGCGGGATCTTCAATTTTTTAAATTCAATAAATCAGCAAAGAGTATCTAGTTTCCATGAAAAAAACCTAAGTTTTTTTTTTCCAAAATTTAGAAAGCTTGATTCAGTCTTGCACTGAAATTAACTGCCATACTACCTCTTAGTATGTAGACATCCTGTTGAAAGTACGCTGTCCTTTCTAACAGGAGAACAATCAGATCCAAGTTAGACCGTGGAAGGGAAGCACCCTTGCTAATAACCATCTTCTCTCTTTGTTATATATTTGTATTTCCAGAGAGAATCTCTTTCAGACTTGTATACCCAGATAACTTCTGCTACCGTTACTCCTCCAAAGCCTACATCTCAGACTTAGTAGAAAACACTGCACAGATCTGACAGTCGAGAAGTACATAACGAATGACCTTTGTCTTACTCACAGACTTGTTCTGCCAGCAGCTTCTGTGATCTCACTGGGAGTCCGCCTTGGGGGTCAAGAATTCAGGCGCTGCTGAACGCTGACCAAGTGTAGGCTCTCTGAACTGCTGTCTGAAGTCACAAGTATCATGAAACTGTCGGACAAGGATTCACTTTATGCTTAAAGCAAACCCCCAACAGTAATTCGGGGGCCACATTCCACCGCTGAAACTGGAAAGACTGGTGTGGCTTAGAAATAAATGAGCAGAGGCACCGTTAGAAGAAGTGATGTAGTATTTATTTAGAGAGGGATGGCTTTGTTCCCATGTTATTTAGTCATACTAGAGAGCCAACCTAGCTTGAATAACGAAGGCGTAGACGCGTCTTCTTCCTCACTGACCAGCTGTCTGAACAAGGAGCCAGGGTGCGTCGGGTCACCTGCTCGGGAGAGTGCCGGGGGGGCCAACCTGCCACGCATGTAGAGGAAAGTGCCTTAGAGTCTACGCAGACCCTCCTGCCTGTTCACCCCCCGCCACTGCACTCGGAGTCCACACAGCACACACGAGCAGATCTGAGAAGCACGGAGAGCTCTAGGAAGGGGCCTTTGCTCTTTGTCAAGATTGGCAAAGGCCTTCGGGGACAAAATGCGATTCTATTATGTGACACAACTAACGCTTCCAGGTGAGAACTCTCCTGGGAAAAGGGTAAACATATGTACCTCCTTTCCCTGGTCGGTTCCTCTCCTACGGACAGGACTTACGGTCAGTTACTTGAAGAGACATTCCGAGTTCGGGGGGGAAGTTCTGGCACAGGCCCATGCTCGTGGAGGGGATGGTCTGTGCAGGAACTCGTTCTCTTCACTACCATCTCCCACATTTGACAACCAGATGTTTGATGAGAATCTGGGTCTTAATGGGTTTGATGGCGGGGAAGATGGAAAGGATACGTTGCTAATATTTTGTCTCACAAGAAAGCAAACACAACTAAATGCTGAAAGAAGACAAGCTGTTTGGGCTCAAACGCGTGTACACAACACAACTCAGAAATACCCAGGAGGACTCTTGCGGGCTTAATGGATGGCAGTCAACTGAAACAAAACGCGCATTAACAAGAAAATGTCAAACTCAGAGCAAATTCCCTTTAATTTCCCACCCAACTGAAAGAAATGGAAGAGGAAACCACCACCAGAACAGAATGGTTTCTTCCCCCAAACAAGTACAGTCATCACGCTGGGTTAGCAGTTAACTCTCTCACCCTACAAGAAATAATCTCCATCCTGTCCTGCCTCTTTTTTACAGCCTTGGCAGTCTGAGAGAACGTTCCTATTATGAGGCTACTTGACAGTGTAAATGGGCATCTTTTAAAACTTCTATCAGCTCGAGCTAGTGAAACCTTGTACTTCTCTATTGCGCCGCCATTAAAAGCAGCATTAGTGCATTTTGTCATTCGGTTCTTTATCGGTTATTTAATGGGGAGCTAATTGGGTGGTTTGGTGGGAGGTAGGGACAGGATCAACAGGGGTGAACCCCTCACTCTGTGCACTAACCTGGGTTTTTGTTTCGATGCTTCTGCTGGTTGATTTGGCCTTTCGGGTACTTGTCATGCTCAGTGGAAGAAGTCCGAACCTCCAAGACAAGGTGAAGGAATTTCAGGGGCATGAACAGGAAGCTTCGGGGCCCGGCTAAAACATCTTTAGAACCATTACCTGATCTGACTCGATGCCAGAGGCAGTATGTTATGGGGTTCTTGGGAGTTGAACGTGTTGCTCCTGGGCGTGAACTGATTCTCTGTACCAGTGACCAATCCAAACAGAACCTGACAGACGAGAAATGGAGCGCAGTAACACGCCGGGTTTTTTACTGTCCAGTTGAAAAGAGAAAAACCCCTGGCTAGGAATCAAGCTCTACTTTGTTTCCGTCCAGCCTTTTGGGGAACGTTCTTTTGAGTGTTAATGCTTCAAAATTACCTTTTTCACTGCCCACAGGTCAGAACCTTATAGTCACATGGCTCTTTTACGTCATTCTCTTCCTGAGGCCTTGACCTTCATAAAACCTTAATAATCCTTATCTGCGCCTCCAGGGGTCAGACCGTGGTTGCCTCAGCAGTGGTTTTATCTAATCCTCTTTCGGCCCTTATAACTAAACTGTGTGGTTTGGGTCCCGCCCCCCTCCCAGCACCACCTCCAGGGTATTAAGTGCAGAGGCAGGTTTGCGTGGTAACCTGAGCCCACGCGCGCTTTCACACCCAGCATGTTTCTCACGTGACTTACAGAGGTTCGCTGCGCCAGCCGCGTGAGGTTGCTGTTGAGGTGTGGTGTGAAGACATCCAGGTCAAACGGGTCAATGAGTGTTTCCAGGGAGTCGGCCACTTTCTCAATTCTGAAAAAAGGATTCTGATTTCCTTTACCCAGTTTTCTAGCTCAGAAACTCCCCTTAAGGCGATTCGATGCTAAAGAGACCCCGTATTTGGACGTAGTCGTAACTGCTGGCTCGGGACCACCTGTCACTGCCCGTGGTACTTGACGTGATCCCAAGAGCTTCCACCTGCTAAGATGTCTGAAGTCCATTCCTTCCTCACATTGTTAGGGTCAGCGCCACAGGCTCAAATTCTGCCCAAGAGCTGGTTGGCTGACTCAGAGGAGAGAGGAATGAGATTCCACCTACCACACTTGACCATGGCATTTACCCAGCAGGTGGCTATTCTTTATCTAGCTGGTAATATGAGCACTTCCTGTTTAAAACGAATACAACCAATGCACGACGAGAGGCTGCCTCGTGGGGGCTTTCTGGAACGGGCTGTGTGCACTTGGGAGAGCCCGTGGCGGGAGCCTACCTGGAGTCCTGCTTGCTGCGGCCACTCTTCACCTCCTCACCCCTGGCTGTCAGAATGATGCTGAGATAGCGCAGATCATAAAGCAGCTGCAGGGCCCGATTCTGGGTCATGGGGAACGCACCTTCTTTCTGTAAGTGAATATCCCACCCCCACCTGTTAAGGGAGACTTGTGACATGAGCCAAATAAACAGCTTCATGCTTTGAGTTACAGCTTATTCCAGAAGCAGCCGCTTTTATATTCATGAGGGCAGTTCAGTCTCACAACACCAACAAAAAGAACAGGTTATGTTCGAAAGTTTGTCTTAAACCAAACTAAAAACCTTAAAGGCCTTGGGGGCTGTAGACTGCCCTTTAAAAGGGGAAAAAGCTCCTTGTGTGAAGGAGAGGCATTCTGAGGCAGCTCAGGAGAGGAGACTTCGCTGAATTCTTCCCCAAATCAGGAGGTGGTCCTGTCTTTAAAAAAAAATTTTTTTTAATCTTTATTTTTGAGAGAGAGAGAGAGAGAGAGAGACAGAGTATGAGCAGGGGAGGCTCAGAGAGAGAGGGAGACGCAGAAACTGAAGCAGGCTTCAGGCTCCAAGTTGTCAGCACAGAGCCCGATGTGGGGCGCAAACTCACGAACCCAGTGAGATCATGACCTGAGCTGAAGTCAGATGCTTAACTGACTGAGCCACCCAGGCACCCCGGTGGTCCTGTCTTTAAAATGTCACTAATGAAACCGGGACATCAACCAAGGGCAGAGCGCTCCAGAGAAGGGGAGGGTGGGTGGAGGGCTGGGACACAGGAGCTCCCGGAAGCCAGTACCTCTGTGTGCCACACGCTGCGCTGGGCATGGTCCCCCTCCACCCCTCCCAAGCAGCTCTCTGAGTGACCGCACCTGACTCTGGAGAAACGGAGAAAGTGTCACAATTTGCCCAAAGCCGCAGCATGTACTTGGCAGTGCTGGGGTCGGAAACCAGGCCTTTTTTCTTTCCCACTGAACTGCCTTCTAGTGAACACCTGCTTGATCCTCGAGAAGGGGTGTGATGAACTCACGGCGCGGGAAGCCGCTACTGATTAGACAGCCTGTGCTGAGTGTAAACGCTTGGAATCCTTGATGGGAACTGCCCAAGCCCCAGAAAAAGCTAAGGTGTTTATTTCTGTTTTTAGCGGGGAAAAAATTCAAACACCAACCTTCACCTGTTTTTCTTCTGAAAGTTTCTCATAGGCAGCCACCACCTGGACCATACAGCTTTTCAGCATCTCCTGCAGGGTCACTTTTGGCAAAGCGTGGCCTCCAACCCGGTTAATTTCCTGGCAGAGGCTAAACAGGAAGGACTGGACATACCAGGATGGCTAAAAGAACAAAGGGACGTCGAGTCACCAAGTTGCGCCAGTTGGTAAAAGTGGCTCCGTTTATCCCTACTAGGCTCATGTGCCGGGACCTTGACCCTCCAGTCAGCCCCACACAGCAGGCCCGGCAACAGATACAAGTGACAATCGCAGCCATCCCCACGGTGGCCGGGGGCTTGGCCCGGCAGGTGGCACTGTGCTTTACGCTGTTTTCACTTTAGGGTAAACAGCCGTCTAATGAGCAGAGCCCGGGACACACAAGGAAAGGATCGTTAAGTGACTGACTCCTCGGCCCTCGGTCCACTCTACCCCCATGATGGAAGTTATAAATACCACTTCCGGCTCTTCCTCAGAAGCCGTGTGCTGACTGATTTTCTCGTCTTTTCCCTCTCCGCAGAGTGGGCTGTTTGGCCCTGTCCCGGCCACAGGTGCTCCAACGGGGGCACCTGCTAACCTGTGTAGGGAGTCGGATTGTGGACATGATGCAGCTGCCAGACTCCGCTTCCTCCTGGATTTCTAGTTCATCCCAGCTGGTGGCTGTGGCCAGGATGGAGCCGGCATCGTCTAGAAGTAACGACTGGGTGAATCCGTGAGCCAAAACCTGGTAATAAAAGGCAAATGTCCAATAGGCCCCTTAGCTCCTCCATAGAGCGTTTCAAGCCACCAGGGTAATCTTGAGACCAGCTTCTGCTGCTTAGATCATGTGTGCCCTGCTGAGTGGAAACGTCACTCTTGGGCTGATTCCGTGCGGCAGTAATGGGAGTTTTGTTGTAACTACCCTACAGATGTCAGCGGCCACCCCTTAAGATGCCAGTGGGGACCCCAGAGAACATGATACTCAGGTTGAAGAGCAGGAAATACAGACCCTTGCCCCGAGAGGTCTTTCTTTTATTCTTATCAGGGGGCAGGAGAAAAAGCCGGTGTTTCGGTCTCTAAAACCTAGGCTAAAAATGTGAACGGAGAAATGTGTACGCGAGAGCCATCTCACTATCGCAGAGAAGTAAAAGTAACTGCGTGAAATAAGAATCAATTCTCCCTTACTGCGGAAAGCCCTCGCTGAGGCTGGCCAGCCTGGAACGTGACAGAAGGGAGGCAAACGGGGGGTCGCCGCTGAGCACGGGAAGGACCCGCCGACGGGTCGGTCACTCACCTTCACAACCGCTGAGCTCCACACGCGGTAACCCATCACGCTCTGCCGCAGGAGGAGCTCCTTGACTTCCTGCCACTTGGCCTGCGAAGGAAGTACTTCCCGAGTGGTCCCCTTTCCCTGCTTTTTCAGAGCCTTAGGGTCCCTTGCTGGTTTCTCAGAGTTCCTGGACTTTCCCAAGACGCACTGCTTCAGATGGGGACACAGCTCTCCCAGCGACTGGCAGAGTCTGGCCATGAAAAGGACCGCGTGCAACTGGACACTGTCGAGGGCATCCCGCTGCCCCTGCACCACCTGCTCCGAGCCGTGCAGCTCTGCCCGGATGCAGGCCGTGATGCGCTCGATGCACGCCACGGACTGAGCCTGCAGCAGCTCCAGCACGGTGCTGGCATCCGCGTACCTGTCAAAGGCACAGCTCTTGGCTTGCACGGGGGAGACGTCCTTGGGCAGTGACGAGTCCGCAGAGGGAAGGTAGGCCAGGAGGTCGTCCAGCTGAACCTGCAGTTTAGCATCCAGGGCAGAGCAGAAGTCCTGGACGCAGGGGCTAACCGCCTGCGCCTTCATGGAGAGCCCGCTGCCGGCACGCGGCCCCCGGTGCGCCACGCTGACCCAGGCAGCATCGGGAGGCAAGTCCTGGGGACTCTCGGACCAGAGGAAGAGAGACATGTTATGCTCCAAGTGGATGTGCTTACTCGGAGTGGAGCTGCTGGTGCTGCTCTCGAGCTCCTGCAGGGCGGAAATGAGGAGCTCCTTGCAGCCGGTAGAGATGGAGTCAAAGCCTTCTCTTGTCAGGGTCTGAAAGAGAGCGAGAGGAGCGAGCGTTCCAGTCGTGACCCGTCAGGACATCTCAAAGCCACGGCACCAGCTGGCACGCCGTCCTCGCGCTCCGCACGTCCTCCGGCACGCTCAGAGAGCTCACGTGGTGTCGGCAGAGAACGGGGTCGTTGCTGACGGCCCCGGACACATTCCCGACCCCCCGACAGAGGCCGCGTCTCTTTCTGTACCACAGTCTAGATCTCTGCTCATTTCTATGGTTCGTTACCCAGAAGAGCCACCCCTGAGTCAGCAGACAGAGGACAGACTCAGGGAGTGACAGAAGTGACAGTCAAAAGATCACACTAGGACGGGCCGGAAGACAACCGGACCGAGTGATCTCACCTGTAACCGGTCAAGGAACAGCTGCCGCATCAAATCCTCCCAGAACAGGAGTGGCTTCTCCAGAAGCCGCTGACATATCACGTCCCAGCTGTGGTTGGTGGACTCGTTGGTAAGTAATTCCCACATGGCATCCCGGATCCCTGCGAGCCCTCTTATGCTCTTCACGTAAAAAAGCAGGTTGGTGATCCCATTTTTAATGTCTTCATTACACCTGCAACAAAGTCATTTTTCTTGGGCTTTATTAGACTCGTGGTTTTCACACCTTTCTTAAGAAAAAGACCAGGACTCCAATGGAAAACCTCTTACTTGGGTCCCAATATATAAACGTATATGTATCTCAGAGTATTTATCAATATGCACTAAAGACGGCGTTTCTGGCTAGACTGGGGGATGGGGCCCACCCTTGCCTCCCCGAGGTGTCTACCTGGAAGGACGTCTACGGGCCACTAGAATGGCTTCAAAAACCGCTGCACTAAGTAAAAGCTTAGGAGTGGCAGAACTCTTGCAATCCTGTAGGGATTATTCCCTGTCAGGATATATTCCTGTAGGGAATATTTTGGAAGGTGAATTCCTTCTTGGTTCTCCTACAGCGGGGGCTGACCACGCCCCCCCCCCCCCCCCCGAGCCCCCCGAGGGCAGTGACAGGCGGCAGAGTGAGTGACTGGCATGACCCAGCGGGCGGCATGCAGAGCATCACCTAGAAGGTCCGGCTTTCCCCTCATTCCTCCGTGGCCTCACCGGCCCCTCTTGTGGCTACGTGAGTGGGTCCTGCCAGCCTCGGGAAAGTCCTGGCTACTTACATGTGGATCCATTTCCGCAGCGTGTCTTTCAGGTACTCCTGGCTGATGGGCTGTGCCAAGGTTCGGAGAGCCGGCTGGAACTGGACGACGGATGCCGGCAGGTGTCTGGACCAGCTGCACAGTTTCACCTCCTCTTGCAGAACACCGGCGCCCTTCCCTAAGAGAAGGCCAAGTGACAGGTAATCGGGGCCATCCTTTGGAAGGCATATTACAACCTGGACCCAGAAGGAACTTCCAAAAATCATCTCGCCTTCCTCTGGCCAGGTCAGGCCGCACCCCTGAAACGGGGGAAAGGGAAGTACAGAATAGACGGTCCTCAGGGAGCTGGCAGCTTCCCGCCAATATGGACACCATATTGGCTGAGAAGGTGAAAGGCAGGGAGGAAAGGTGCGGGGTGAGGCAGGGGGAAGGAGCAGTACTGGAGTGCCCTCCACGTCCCAGAGGCAGAACTTACGTTGTCACAAAATAAAAGGCGATCATTTCCCTTTCCTCACCATCCTCTGACCAACCTGGAAGAGCTAAGAACTGAAGACCACTCATCCTGATGAGTGGCTTGTAGCTCCTTAGAGGTGACCTTTCAAGAAGGACACCAGCATCCGCGGGGCAACTCTGGGAGGCAAACACCCTCCGGAGCTGGAAACACAGGGGTCCTTCTGAGGTCCCTTGTACTTGTTCTCCAAAGCCTTGACCTATCAGCCCATAGGCACCTTTCACGGGAGGGGAAAGGATGAAATGGAAGCACCCAGAGGGGAGCCAAGGCATAAGGAAGTGGCACCCTAGCTGGAAGAGACTACGTAATACACGTTTCTCTGAAAATGACCAGATGGCTGTCCCCACTTTCTACTTGTTTCCCTTCTACCTTTGGCCATGTCTCCTCTGCCTGACCTCTGAGTTCTGGAGTCCCCTGAAGCACAGTCCTCTGTCATCCTCTTCCTGTGATGATGTCACCTATTCCCAAGGCCTCAGCCACAGGCACAGATGTGTGTCTCCGGCCAGACCTTTTACTGCTCTGTTCTGGACCTGTAGCCGCCTGCCCAGTGCACACTCCCATTCCAAGGGCTCAACGGTCTCCAAAGCAGTATTTTCAAGAGTGAGCTCATCATCAGCCCTTTCAGACCAGCTCCTTTTCTAATAGACTCGGACACCTCCTTCCCACACCCTCCACAGCCAATCTACCAAATCCCCTGCTAAACAGACGTCCAAGTCGTCCAACTAGCCCCCATCGTCTGCCACTTAGGTCATGATGACAGCCTCCCAAGTGAGCTCTCCACATCCACTCCAGACCCCATGAAGAGCCACTGCCACATAAAAGCCAAATGAGTTTAATTCCAATTAGGATAAATGCGATCAAATAAAAGCACAGGACGTATGGGGACATATAACAGAAGGATGTACAAGCCTGGAAGGTCTCAGAAGGCTCTCCACTGTTCTCTGGATAAGGTCCAAACTCCCTAGCCTGGTCCACGCAGCTCTGCATTATTTGGTCACATCTGACAGACTGGCCACATCTCTTCCCATGCTGCTCTTGACCCTACCCCAAACCCTTAGCCTCACCTGCTTGCTTTTAGTCCCTCAAATATCCTAACATCTTCCTTGCCTCAGGACCTTTGCACATCCCATCCCCTTTGCCTGGAACTCTCTTCCTTGCCTCCCTCATTTGACTAACTCTTACTGAACTTTCAGATTTTAGTTTAAATACCATTCTCCAAGGAAAGCATCGTTGGTGAAGTCCCTCCCAAGTCAACTTGTGCTTGGCCTTTATGACAGTGGCCAATGTGGATATCCAACGGATGTGTGTGTATTTGTGAGTTCGGTATCTGCCTCTACCGCTAGACTGTGACCTCCACGAAGGTGGGGTCCGCATTGGTCCCACGCGCTGCCGTATCCCCAGCGCTCGGCACCGCAGCAGGCAGACGGTAGACACTCAGTAGACAACAGGTGAGTGACCAGAAAATGAGAAAGGCTGGCCAAGAGCTCACCGGTCGGATGCTGGCCCGTGATGGTCTCTAAAGTTGAGAAGAGCAAGCCGCATGGCAGGGACGGATCTGGCAGCTGGCCTTCTGGTAAAGTGTAGAAAAGAGCATGAGCCTGGTTCAAAGTGGTGGCCAGCAGCTCCACTAACGAGCAGACCTGAGTCTTGATGCCAGTACCTACGAGAAGAAACCACCCTCCTGTAAACAAGTTCCTGTGGTCAAATGGGAATCAGGGAACACCCCAGATGCTTCGGTCTCCCTGAGCTCATGCGTCTCCACTCCGTTGTTTAAGGACCACGTTTTGGAAAGAAGCCAAACCTACTGTGGTGCGGCTGGTTGAGGAGTTTCTGAATAGCTGCCTTTCTGGCCAACAGGAAGTCTGCTAGGGCCTGGCGAGGAGAACTCTCTTCTAAGAGCATTATCGAGCACAGGGCCTCGGCTACAGCCTGGTCAGACACGGCTTGGCATTTGAGCAGCAGCTTGCTTTCGTGCAGAATAGTTGACCTAGAAAGACGATGACAGAGGTCAACGGGGAATTTTTTCCATCTTGGGAAGAAGAACCTTGGTACATCAGGAGAGAAGACCTATTCCACGACCCGGCAGCGGTGGCGCGTGGCCGTGCCCGGAGCCGGTCGCCACACCGGGTCCACTTACCGGAAGTGGCTGGCTGCTGCGACCTGCCGGATGAGTATCGGGAATCGCAAGAGGACGGGGCTGTATCGGGAGCCAGAAGAATCCAGCTGGAGCAGGCTGTGGAGGTGGCAGCAGAGCAGGTACAGCTGTGTGGCATGGAGGTACTGAGAGGCCTCCATGGAGCTCCAGATCTTCTCAGGAATTTCCAAGAGTAGCTTGATCTGGGCAGCCATGCTGTAGAACTTCTCCTGGGATGGCTGCTGGGGCTGCAGGGAAAGGCACGGAAACCACGTCAGAAGAACAAACAGATGCAGGGTCAGCGTTTGGCAGGCTTGGGGGGAAGCGTGGGGGTATCGTAGGGCACAAGCTTTTGTTAAGGCTGATGCCACTCGGCTAGGCATCAGAGTTTGGGGCAGAGAATCAGAGACAGGAGTCCTGTCCAGCCGCACTGGCTTTTCCTCCCGGTTGGGGACACCTTTGCGCGGTCTCCTGGAGAGGTGGACTTGATCTGGTCCTCCTCTCGCAGTCTAGTGATCAGCGAGCCTCGAGAGGTCTCCACGGCACAGAGCCCTGCGGACCACCATTCGAGTGGGCTTTCTTCTTCCCTTTTCTGATATTCCGCCTTCCCCCATTTGCTCCTGCTTCTCTGAGTGCTCAATAGACTTCTCTGCCAGCTGTTCTTTTTTTTTTTATTATTATTTTTAATGTTTATTATTTTTGAGAGAGGGAAAGACAGAGACCAAGCAGGGAAGGGGCAGAGAGAGAGGGAGGCACAGAATCAGAAGCAGGCTCCAGGCTCTGAGCTGTCAGCACAGAGCTCGATGAGGGGCTCGAACTCACAGACCACGAGATCATGACCTGAGCCGCAGTCGGCCACCCAACCGACTGAGCCTCCCAGGCGCCCCTCTGCCGGCTGTTCTTTACCGCCCCTCCGCGTGGCGCAGTCCTCACGCCTCTGCCCACCTCAGTCCACGATCCTACTCCAGGACTCTGTGCCCTGAAGCATCACCTCTAAGCAGACCACTACTATCGCGTCTTTTTCAGCCCTCACCACTCTCCTGCGTCCCAGGGACGCCTCTTCTGCTGCCTGCCTGCTAAGTGTCACTGCCATTCCGTAATCAGTATGTCCAAGACGAAATTCACTGCCCTCCCCAAAAATCTCAGTCATCTGACCTCCAAACATATCTCAGCACACCACCACTCTGCTCCCACGTTCCCAGGAGATTCATGTCCTTCCGGTGGTTCTGCTGAGGTCTCCACTACTAGGTTCCAGGATTCTAATGCAGGTCCTTATCGTCTCCCACTCATTAATCCAAAAACATTTCGCTCATGCTGCGTTCATTCTCTACCGCCTCCGATCTATCCTTTACCTTTGCCTTCAGATTAATCTCCTTCAAAGGGAGAGCCTTCAAAAAGGCTCCTCGCTGTTTAGTAACTTGGCCTGGTTGTCAAAGATTTCCTGTCCTTCCAAGTACCTTCTTCCAGGGACCCTTCAATCCGTTGGTTCTACTGTGGCGGGGAGGGGAGTGATTTCATCCTCTCAGGAAATATCTGGAAACATTTTCGATTTTCAGAAAGGAGAAGAGGAGTACTACTGGTGTCCAGTGGGTCAAGGCCAGGGATGCTTATAAATATCCCACAATGCACAGGACAGTCTCTAAAACAAAGAACGATCCAGCCCCAAATGTCAGCAGCACCAAGGTTGAGAACCCCTGCTTTAATCAAATTGATTACCGACTTTTAATTGTCTTTTCATACTCCAGATCCATATTCCAAATTTCATCCATCACAACGGCCCCTCCTTACTGAGAAAGACTCAACCCTGAAGTGACTTCCTTCGGAAATATTATGGTAAATGTTAGTAATTATTTTGGAATCGATCACACATTATCCTAAAATGTTTTCTATTGCTACTCTGAAGTATTTATATTTTTCTCATCAACTTTTCATGGACTTAATTCCTTGACTAGATTGGAAGCTCCATCAGAGCAGGAATGGCAGGGTGGGGGCAGGATTCTGTTTCTTTGTGCCTTCAACACAGAGGGCACGCAAATATTTGTGAGTCTGAGAATAAATCAGAAATAATAACTATAAAAAATATATTTCTAAGGTCAGGCACGGTACAAGTTACCTTTTAATAAACCTGAAGCATAACTCCGTTATAGGAAAGGCTGGCCACTAAAAGGAGGCATATATAAATGAACAGAGGAGAGGGATGAGGTTTCTCATTTCAAAAATTAGCAAAATATTTCTAATCTTCTATGGTTCCGTTGCGTGAGCCCTGGCTACTGACTTGGATTTTTCAAACAGGGTGTATTAAAAAGTTCCAAACTGGAGCTAAATTGTAGTTTTGCAACTTGTTCTAACATGTCGCTCTAAGGTTCCTTCTCCCCAGTTGTTAAGAACAAATTCCATGTTTACTCTTCTGACCCTCCCTACCCCTTCACTTTGTCATCCTTAAGTCAACATTCTTTAGGAACACAAAATGCTGCTCCGATATTAGGATGAATTTAGGGCTGAATCCTTCCACATCAGGCCTAATCATTAGCATTTCGGGGGGAAAACACTTAGGGTAACTTGATTAGAATAACCTTAGCTCCCTTGGCGCCTGGGTGGCGCAGTCGGTTAAGCGTCCGACTTCAGCCAGGTCACGATCTCGCGGTCCGTGAGTTCGAGCCCCGCATCAGGCTCTGGGCTGATGGCTCAGAGCCTGGAGCCTGTTTCCGATTCTGTGTCTCCCTCTCTCTCTGCCCCTCCCCCGTTCATGCTCTGTCTCTCCCTGTCCCAAAAATAAATAAACGTTGAAAAAAAAATTAAAAAAAAAAAAAAAGAATAACCTTAGCTCCCTAAAATGAAAATGTTCCACTACTGAAAGATGAGAGCTTGATGGCTGGTACTGTCGTGCAACAACTTCAACAAAGGGTAGAATAGGTGTTTGGGATCATGGAACTTATTCTTGGGAATGCGGTGGGCTCGAGACCGGGATGAGGAACGACATAAGGGGAAGGGACCAACGTAAGGGAGAGATGTGTTCTAAGAATAACGTCAGGAAACATTATACAGGGATGAGCTGAACTGCCGAGCGAGAGACCCTGGCGTTTCATCTAAAGCTGGAAGGGAGAGCCCAGCGAACCCACGAGGGAGGTGAGAGAATCTGGGCCCGGAAGTCAGGGAGGGTTCCTGAGCGGAATGACGGATCAGCAGCCAGCGCAGGCAGGACAGCCGTGTTCCCCCCACCAGGAAGGGAGTCCAGAAATGCGGCTGCAGGCTCTTCCCTCGGCAGGTGAGGCTCGCGCGGGGGGGCGGGGACTGGCCCGTGGCCGCCCGAGGGCTGGGGGCGGGTCCGCGGGGGGCGGGACCGAGGGTGCGGGGCTGACCTGCGGGTCCCGTGGCGGCAGGGGGGCGGCCGAGCCGGCTTCGCGGAGACGGGCGCAGTACTGGTCGGTGGACTTCACGGCGTCCACGAGTCCCTCGGCGCAGCGGCGCATCTGGCCGATGGTGTCGGCCGCCTCGATCAGGTCGCGGTACCGCTCTCCCACCATTTGCCGCAGCTCCTCTTTCTTGTGCTCGATCTCGGCCCGAACCTGGCGCTCCAGCCCGCGGATCTCCTCCGCCCCATGTGTCTCGAAGAGCGCCGCGGGGTCGCGCAGGTCCAGCCGCTTCAGCGCGGGAGAGGTGGCCGCGGCCGCCATGATAGACGGGTCAGTCGGCCGACGGGTCACTTCCGCCCGGAGGCCCGCCCGGCGGCCATCTTGGATGGGGGCGGAAGCGCTTCCGCCCCGCTGCCCGCCATTCTTCTTAGGGGCTGCTCCGGCGGCCAAGGGGCGGGGCCGGGATGGGTGGTGACTTTTTTTTAATGGGCGACGCGGCGGGTGGGGTAGATCTCTAGGGCCGACCGTCAGTTGGCTCGCCGGGACCCCCAGCCCCGCCCGCCGCAGGTGCACCCTCAAAGCGTCCGACCTCTGCACCGGCAGCGCGTTTGTACCGTCTGCTCCGGAAGCCCGAGCCCCTCGGAAACCCGCAGCCGCCCGGGGTCCCGGCGCAACTCGACCACTTGGCTCCCTGCGCTGTCTGCGGGCACCGGGCGTTATCTTCTGGGGCCCTTGGCCCAATGCGACGCCCGGAGTGGAGGAGTTGGGATCCGTTCCTGTTCATCCTCGAAAGTAACTTCGCAGTTGTTCGGGACCGGCTCTTCTCTAAGGCGCGCGTCCGCTCGTTTGGCTTCGGTTTTTCTTTTGATGTCTATCAGTTCTTTGCGGCTTTGGTTTTTGTTTCAAGACGGTGTTTAACCACGAAGGATGCACTGGCACTCGCGTGGGGCCGAGGGTGGTGGGCAGAGAGGAAGGGGCGCGGTGCCTTTGAAACAGCGCCTGGCAGTGTGGGCTGGGGGTGCCTAACGCTGACTCGGCAGTGATGAGCTGGGGAGGGGGGGGGCTGTTTCTTCTGAGTACTTCCAAGACCCTTCACTTTTAAAAACATTTATTATGGAAGAGTTCATTTTCACACCGACGCAGAGAGGATGGTGTCATGTGCCCACCCGCCAGGTTTTCTGCCGCCTCTGTACCCCTGTTCACTTCCTCTCCCACCCACGGCCTCTGTTACTTTGAGACAAATCCCAGACAGCAAAGATTTCAATCTGTAAATGAAACCATTGATATTTATATCTCACAATAGCCCTACAACGTAGCAAATGTTCTCATTTTACAGATGGGTAACTTGGGACCCCCAGAAACAAATGGACTTACTCAGTAAGAGTCTAATTTTCAAAGCCTGTACACAAACCGAACTAGTTTGATACACACGTCAGCCTTGCAAAATAGGTAGGGATAACGTTTCTGTTCCACGCATAACCAGAAACCCGGAGAAGCGTATGTGCCCTCCTGCGTTGCACGGCTGATGAGGGATGGAATCTCGTCTAGAGTTTTGAATTCCTGGCTTGTGCCTTTTCTGCTTTGTCGTGCGACTTTCCACAAACTCAGAACACTCAGTGATGGTGGGTCTGCAGTTGGCCATCACAGTCCACTGTGCTCTGTAGGGGACATTTTCTTGACGTTGGCTGCCCAGCATCGGTGCAATGTCTTTTCTGTGTTGGGGGAAGTCACCTCTGTGGGGCAAGATCTTTTCCAGGGACCCCTTACAGCTGTGGTGAAAGCCTGTGGGCCTGGGATTGGTTCGTCAGACAACTAACTGCTGGGGACTTTAAATGGAGAGTCACTGATGTCAAGAGGCATCAGGGACACTGGAGATTTCATTCTGGGGGCAGTGAAGGTACCTCTTGGCAACATCCACTCTCCAGGGGCAGCAGGGGCATTGAATCCAGCTGGGGCTCCCAGCTGCCCATGTAGCACTGGTCCTGGTGGCAGCGGTGGGCGACCCCAGTGAGGCCCCTCATCTGAATTGATTGCCTAGACATATGCTTTGATTGGGTTCTGGATGTTCTCACTTCTCTTTATTCCTGTCTGTCCCCTGAGCCTGATTCTCCAGCTTTCCCGGAGGTTGTATGGGCTGTCCAATATCTTACTGATAAATTTGATGGCTTTGAAAAATCAAAACCACTTTTGGTCGCTTGCCCTAGAGACCCTGACTGACACACCGTTCTGAGTTTCCAGCTCAGTAAGAGTGTGGCTGATGTCTCTCTAACAGCAAGGGGGAGGCGTGTTGAGGCATCAGTTATGGTGGGGGACCTGGGGGTTTCTTTGTGCATACACCTGCCATCTCAAGTAGAGGAAAGGCCAGCCGGCTACAGAAGTCTCCACTGCGGAGCGTGTTGTGAAAGCAGGTTACCCTCTGCTTCCCTGGCCAAGTTCATCTGGCCATCCTGAAGATGCCACTGTTGCTCTTCTGCCTGCAGAACTGAGCGCCTGACAGAGGCTGTTCCTGAACATTCGTGCTCTTGAAACTGGGCACTAGAAACACTCCCGGGGCTGGAGGTAATGTGTCCTTGACTCTTTACCTTCTTTGGTTCCTTTTCCTTTCCCCTCTATGTCAAGGTCCCCCCTCCCCTTCATCTTCTGCCTTTTTTTTTTTTTTCTTTTACCATCTTGCCTTCTCAAAATCAGGATGGGAGCCAAGAGCTCAGCTTCAGCAGCTGAACAAGGCAAATGCTGGGCACACAGGGGCAGAGATGAAAAACTGGTCTTTTTTGTTTTGCTCAAGGAGGTACATGAGCAAAGGGCACTTTGAGTTTTTATGCCATCATTTTGTTTTGGTTAGGGAAGTGTGTGTGGGGGGGGGAGGGCAGGGGTGTGTTGGTATCATTTTCTTCTTTTCAGCTTAAATCTTTAGGGGCAGGAAACATCCAGTGTTCCCATTCAAAAGATTACTTTTTTTTCTTTTTTTAATTTTTTTTTTCAACGTTTATTTATTTTTGGGACAGAGAGAGACAGAGCATGAACGGGGGAGGGGCAGAGAGAGAGAGGGAGACACAGAATCGGAAACAGCCTCCGGGCTCCGAGCCATCAGCCCAGAGCCTGACGCGGGGCTCGAACTCACGGACCGCGAGATCGTGACCTGGCTGAAGTCGGACGCTTAACCGACTGCGCCACCCAGGCGCCCCCAAAAGATTACATTTAGATCATCCTGGGTCTCTGAGTTCAAACCCCAGCATTCTGCTAGTTATGAGAGCTGTGATTTTGAGCACCGTCCAGACACTTTGCATATGTGATCTCTAATCCCAACAATAACCCCTCAGCATTGGTGGCTTTCCACCCATTTGATAGATAAAGCCAGCTTCGGCAGAACCCAAGTAACCTGCCTGAGGTTATGCAGCCTGTCTATATGTCCCTGGCAGCCTGACTCAAAAGTCCTTGATCTCCCTACTTTGTCACATTATTAGCTTCAAAGAAAATTCCAGAACATCAAGAGACAGATGGGTCAAACCACTCGGAGCAACATTCAGAGGGCGCCCATGCTGCTTCCTGTCTGTTGCCCGGAGGTGGGTCTCTGCCATTGCCTGGGCAGTTTGGGACTGGAGCTGGAGTGCTTCTCCGGTGATGTGGGGGCAGGTGGCAGGCGGTTGGTCAGGCCTGGTAGCCAAGTGTTGGTGCCGGAGAGCCCACTTTCAAAGCTGGGACCACGTTCTGATACGTTTGCTTTCTCCGGACCCGTCGGTGTTCCTGTCTCACTCAGATGGTTGAGGGGGCAGGATCTCCCTTACTTTTTATTTATTTAATGTTTACCTATTTATTTTGAAAGAGAGAAGGAACGCACGTGGGGGAGGAGCAGAGAGAGAGGGAGAGAGAATCCCAGGCAGACTTGGTGTTGTCAGCGAGGAGCCTGACGCGGCGCTCGATCCCCTGAACCATGAGATCATGACCTGAACTGAAATCAGGAGTCAGATGCTTAACCGACTGAGCCACCCAGGCACCCCTCTCCTTACTTTTTTGTTTTTGATTTTTTTAAATGTTTTATTTATTCTTGAGAGAGAAAGAGAGAGAGACAGAGTGTGAGCAGAGGAGGGGCAGGGAGAGAGGGAGGCACAGAATCCGAAGCAGGCTCCAGGCTCCAAGCTGTCAGCACAGAGCCCGAAGCAGGGCTCGAACTCACAAGCGGTGAGATCATGACCCGAGCTGAAGTCGGACGCTCAACCGACTGAGCCACCCAGGCACCCCGATCCTTACTTTTTAATAGAAATATGGAAAGCAAGGCAGCATCATGTTTAAATTGCAGGGTTCTTAACTGGTCTCCTTCCCTGATGCCACACGTGGTCTAGCATCCAGGAAAGGGGCCCAGAGACCTTGGCTCCCGGGCTAAACAATTGAATAACTATTTGCAAGATGAATGAATAGTGCCACACACAGTGTCACAGAATCACAAAGTATCTGCTCAGAGGGTGCATTGGAAAAGGCGAAAGGACCTTCTACCATCAATTGCCTAAGACGGTTCTCACTCATCCCACACCCACCTCACCGACTTGTTTCAGGACCTCTCCTTTGATGAACGGTGCTGGGTGGCCGTGGGTCGGGCATGTCAGTGTTCAGCCTGAAGGCTGAACCTGCAGGATACTGTCCCGCTATGATGGTGTCAGAGAGAGGGCATCCTGTCCCAAGAGTTGGGGTGGGATGCGGGCCGGGCACCCCCGGAGGAGAAAGAACAAGTAGAAGATGGAAGCTTGTGTGGGAACATGAAAGTGAGCTTAATTCTGGCTGAGCAAGAAGAGATGGAAAAGGAGAAGGAAAAAAGGAGAGGCACCCTCAGCAGATTAACAGAGAGGGGAGGAAAGCTAGGAGGATTTGATCCGGTGAAGGACACACCGTGTTGATAAAAGGAATGTCAGGGGCTTGGAAGGAAGGCTGGATTCCACACCTGAACCCTGGTGGGATTCAGACGTTTGGTGTTTATTCTGGGCTGAGATGCCAGTGGGATGGAGACAGCCTAATGCAGTCGTCCCGCCGGCTTATCTTTATAGCTGTGTTTATCAGCTTGTGTCTGCTAGAGCTGACGTTTGCGGTGGAAGGGTTGGTTGTTTGACTCAACTGTTTGCAGATTCCGGAGACTCCGCCTTCAACAAATAGCCAGGCAGGCATCACACCTGACGACAGGAGCCTGGACGTCCGGGGTGCACACGTTCTCAGTACCTTGACTAAAACATGGTGATAGGCGATGCAGAGTTCATGCTCCAAATGTTATGTCCTTGATTGGCGTGTAATTGAGTAACTACTGTGTTGTTTGTTTGCTTGTTTGTTTACTTATTTATTTATAGAGAGAGCATGAGCAGGG